GCAACAAAGTTGTATTGTCTCCAAGTTTAACTACTTAGTGTTGAGACCAGCACAGCAGTTTTCAAGTGTTGCTCAGAAGGACCTATCCTGGAAAAAAAAACAAAAAAACTTTTCTCTGCCCCAATGATTCTACGGAGACGGTTCTTGAGATTAAAACAGAAAAAAAAAGGTTCAGGCCACCTTAAAACAGCCCAGACGTTACTGTATTGTTACATGTTCTTTTTGGTAGTTTTGTTGACATTCAAGTCTGTAAATATGCATGAAGCGTAACTGTCAATATATACACACAAATTACCACAAGGGAGCTTATTGCATATCTGTCTTGAATCTTCAAAATATACCCAATAAACTAGGTAATTTTTAGACAACAAGGCCTATATTTTAGGGGTCGACTGAATATCGGATCCAATACTTAGCATTTTTCCTATCATCTTTGTTTATTTATGTATTTTTTACAGTTTCCAAAAAACAAAAATAAAAGCTCTGATAAAGCCGCCTTTCTCTATCTGCAGTCACTCTGTGGTCTTAAGTAATGTCCTGCCCACAGCGCTATCTGGGATAAGTATTGAAAGGTTCTCTGCTAATTAAACACCTCAAACAGAAGTAAACAAAAGTATTTCAATGAAGTTTTGTGTTGGACTTTGCCCTGTTCTAAGTTCTGACACCAAGATTTAATGTTTTTCTGCAAATATGCATTGGTTCCAAAATTAGAAATTATTTTACTTTTGGCAAAAGTCTGATCTGTCAAGTTTTGTTTTTCCATTTCACAGATATTATTGTGTGTATAGATGCTTCCCCATAACTACATGTAGAGCCTGAACTCTCTGGTCACTGAAGTAACCAACAAAATATGGCAACAAGTAGTTGAGTCGCAATAAGAACACATTTATCGTTTTGTTGTAAGTTGCTGTAGTTAGATAAGTTGTTATTAAACTATGGAAATCATTTATTGTTAGAAACAGTTAGTCGATTTGGTCTGATTATTATCTGTCAGCCTATTTTTGGGGCGTGTTGTATTTATGGGACTTTATGGGTGAAATTATTCTCCTCACAGCATCCTTCATTATTTCTACATCAGATTTATGAAAACAAGTATTTCGAAGGGTTTGCGCATGATTATGACTGTAAATCATCATAAATAAGACTAATTCCAGGCCTGCTCTGTCTCAACCTGCACTCACTGAGATCTTAATGAGCACAGTGACTCACATTTTATATTCATTTCCCTCTGAAATAACTTGAAAATGGTGCATTTATCAGTCTACAATCTAAATAGTTCAGGACTGAGCCCAGCCCCAGGAACTTCTATGTCTTTATTTATGTGTTTACTACTTACAGTCATGATGCTTGATCGTATTAAAGAAGAAGTTGGGAAACAAGAAAAACAACACGTGTCAGTGGATCGAACCAAACCAATCAATCAATCAACTGCTCTGTCAGTTAGTTACACCGGGTTATCTGGCTCCACCGTCACCCCTCTCCCCCGCTGCTCGCCCACCCACCCGCTCCGCTCCACGCACCCGCCCCACCGACCAGCCGCTCGGTTCGGCTGCAGCGCACCTTGACGTCCGTCCACGCCGTGATTCCGCCGCTCCTCCCTCCCTCCCTGCCTCCCTGCCTCTAACTCTCTCTCCCTTCCTCCACACACTCTCTCCCCCCCTCCCTCCCCACCTCCACAAACCCGGCGAGCTCCAGCCTTCCTTCCCGCCTCATCATGAGCCATTAGCCGCTACCACCAGCCAGCCTCATGTCGCTTCTCCTCGACGGCGCAGCTCTCCTCCCGCACCGCCGGTCGGAGCCTCCGCAGCAGCAGCAGCAGCAGCAGCGGCGGGGGTAACCGCGCTGCCGACCCCGCGTCTCCTGCAGCTGCGGCGGCGAAGGGAGTCGCAGGGGAGGGGAGAGGAGGAAGGGAGGGAGGGAGCCGCGTCTCTCCCGTCGTCGTCTCCCCTTTTTTACTTTTTTATTTCATTTTGTTAGTATTCTTCTGGGTCGTCTCTTTGCTGGAAATGCTGTCGCCGGGCTGCCGGGGCCGCTGTCATACCGTTTGATAGAGACACAGACCGGCGAGAGGAGGAGGAGGAGGAGGAGGAGGCGGAGGAGGAGGCGGCGGCAGCAGCGGTGGTGGTGGTGGGGTGGGGTCGGGGTTGCCCTGCCCTGCCCTGGCCGGACTAGCTCTCCTCCAGCAGCATGAACCTCCACTCGGGCAGGGCGTCCGTGGCCATGCTGCGGATGATGGGCTGTGCTAACGGGCGCTCTGCTCGGCATCTCCTCCACAGTGACTGCGTGGTGGACGAGAAGACGGTGGTGCTCCAGAAAAAGGAGAATGAGGGATTTGGCTTCGTCCTGCGAGGGGCGAAAGGTAGGATTATTTACTTTTTGTCAATTTTTATTTTTTTTTTGTGAATGCATGATGTGTGTTTTTGTGCCATCATCACAAAATCAATCAAAACACATGAAGAATTCACCTGCAAGATGATGCATTTTGCACAGTACCTGGCTCTTCTTGGGTTCTTATTGCATGCAATAATGCTGTCTTCTGCTATATTCCCTCCTCCTTCATCCTTCCTCCATTTAAACCCTTGCAAAAAAACATGCAAATAACTTCTGCTAGATGCATTTGAGGCAACTTTAATGTGACCTCCCCTTGAGGCAGCACACACATCAGCAGATACATTGCATGTTTCTGTATCAGAAAACCACACAAATGTGCCTTTATTTATAAATTCACACTCCCCTCCTTCCTCCTCCAGCTCCCATAAACATCTGTAACATGACATCACTGCTTAATTAGGAGCAGACACGAAGAAATCAGCTCCTGCTTGGCGTGTACCTGCCTCGCAGCGCCCACCATCCTTTACCCAGCACATCATGAGTTGTTGTGATACGAGTGGCCCATCCAGGCAGTTTTGATATTTCACCAGGCCATGAGATTGGCTCTAAAAATAGCCAGTTTGAGCTGCTGCGTCGGTTTCTATGACGATTCTCACCATGTCATAATCCACGTTGCATTCCACAACTGTGCGGTGCCGTTCGATTGGTCCGAGCCATGGTTACTGTCGAGAGGTAAATATTCATGTTTTTGAAGACACATGCAGAGAGAGAGAGAGAGGGAGAGAGAGAGAGAGAGGAAGAGGGGGAGGCAGGGAGAGGAAAGAGGGATTTGTCTTGAAAAACAAGAAGAATGTTCTAGTCATTCTGACACACACTGCCATCACCCCGGGGGAACTGACCCAGCCGAGCTTATCCTGCACGGGGGTGAACGCAACACACACGAACGCAGGAAACATGCGCTGATGCTCGAGCTGTCACATAAGCTTACATCCTCTCCTGCGCTCCGCATTTCTGCCCAATTTTGGTCTCTACTCTCCTCCTCCTCTTCCTCTCTGTCACTATGTCACACAGACACCTAAAGAAACACAGTCATCACAACCATGTAGACCTCCCCCCACCCCCCCAACATGAAACCCTCGCACGAGCCCGCGGACTGTGTCTCCCAGTAAGAGGATGAGTTATAGGAAGTGTCACTTGTCACCACTGGTTTCTCCCAGCCGCAATATTTTTTAACCTCCCCGAGAGCGAGAGAGTGAGAGGAAGGGATGGTGGGCTGCAGCCATGTGTGGTTGGAGTGATAGTACAGTACAAGATAGATGCTTGTTAGGAGATTAAATCAACGCTCCCGCATTAGGAGGATCATTAAAAATATGTCCTGGTGTGCGTGTGCTTGTATTAGGGGCTGCAACTAACGGTTACATTCATTGTCGATTGTTTTCTCCATTATCCGATTAGTTGTTTGGGCTATAAAATGTCAGAAAATGGTGAGAGAATATTGATTAAATGTCTTGTTTTGTTCACAACCCAAAGATGTTCAGTTTACTGTCATAGAGGAGGAAAGAAACCAGAAAATATTCACATCCAAGAAGCTAGAATCAGAGAATTTGGACTTCTTTTTTTTTAATAAAAATGACTCAGACTTTGGTAATTATCAAACCAGTTTGTGATTAATTAAAAGCTGACAGCTAATTGATTAATCACTCGTGATGTTTGCTGTGTTTGGTGTCCCGTAGTGTTTAAGATGAGTGACACTGTTTTCCATCACGCATTCCAGCATAAATAAGTATTTTTCTTTTTGCCATAAACCCCTTTATTCTTTCACCATTTGGCTGAAATATGTCGGTAGCAAGAGAGTCAAAAAGTGCTCAGTCAGATTCATTCAACTTTGCAGAATTTGCAGATTTGCAACTGATAAATAATCAGATTGTTGATTCATGCTCTCTTTTCAAGCACTGTCCTTCATCAGACAACATAAATAGACACCGCTGAATGCTTAAATGTGCACACATTCATTGATCAAAATCCTACAAAATGCAGAAAAGAGCAGTTCCTTACTGAGAGCACAGTACTGGGTAAACATGTGCTATTTGCTTTAGAGCTTAAAAAGCCCGTACTCTGCATGTTTAAAGGTTCATTCATTTTCTGAGTCCAGCAGAGTACGTTTATGTGCTTTAAGGCTAAAACAAACCCCCCAAAAAACAGAGCAACCAGACAACAATGATTTTACTTTGCAGAACAGGGTAGTTGCTTGTCTCATCCGTAGGCTCCTCCAAGCCAATTTGGATCCATGGATGCTTGCTTGGATCTGAATTAAAACCACAAAGTAACACAATGACACAAACTAACCATTGGAGGTAACAGCAGACCAGCAACTCCGGTGTTCTGCAAGGTAAATTTACTGCTTTTGTAAATGGAGTCTGGTGGCTCTGAACACAGCATAGAGCAAACATTAAAGCTCCTGTTCCCGGTTTAAAAAAAAGAACTATCTGAATATTTGAAATATTGTGCATTCTTAAAGGGCTCATTTTCTCCACCTTAAAGGTTTATATTTTTATTTCGGGGTGCCTTCTAGAATGTGTTTACTAACTAATGATAAAAAAAATGTCTCAAGTTGCACATTGCCTCAGTACAGTACCTCCTCCCAGCCGCTGTTTGAAGCTCTTCATTGTAGCTGCTGAGATTACATTGGCTAGTGACCTCACACTTCTGAGTTGAGCAGAGAAATTTAGCTCCAGCAGAAACAGTGAGAACATAATGGTGGACTGCAAGTAAGCTGCTAATTCTTTGAGGGTAAAACTAGTAGCCAGGCAGGAAATAGGCAAATGTGTTTCATTGTGATGTAGATAAGTAACAGAGGAAAAGTCTGGACTTTAAAAGAGGTCTTTCAGGCAGGTAGGGAGCAGTGTTTTCTGTGGGAGAGAATGTAAGTCGTAAGTTTGCAGAAAAAACATCTGTATAACACAGTCAAGGAAGGTTGAGCACAAGAAGCAGAATATGGGCTCTTTAAAGGAACAAATAAAGGAAAATATATAGTTTACCTTCGCACACAGCTTAGCCCAAGACTGAAGGCAGGAGGAAGCAGTTAACCTCCCTCAAACATGAAAAATTAAGCCCCATATCTACATTTTTTTTTATTTGTTATCAAGAACGCAAGTGAATATAACATGCAAAGCTTAGTTTTGCTTGTGACCGTTAACGAGCAAACGCGACTAACTCGCTCTGAGGTGCTAATTAGCTCCAGCTGGTTTTACTCCAGTACATAAACTAATACTGGAGTCCTGCAACGTTATTGTTGACGGCACTAGAAAACGTCCCATACTTCTGACATGGGAGCCTTCGTGCTGTAATTAAACTAATTACTGCTACCGTTGTAGTCACACCATGAGAGTATTACCAGGCAGAATTTGCTATTGTGTTCCATATTTGTTCATTAGCAGCTGGAAGTGAGAGACTGTGTGGTTCATTTCTAGTTAGCAAAACCAAATGTAGTGAATACGTATTTGGTTTACAGCCGATACAAATAGCTACATAACAGACAGCAGGTAAATGCAACACTATTAGAGTTGTTGGAAAGTGTATTTTTACTGTTAAGCCCTGCTTCAGGCTTTTAAGCTAAGCTAGGATGAGCCACGTTTCTGTACTTTACACACAGAGAAGAAGTTGATATTTCAGTGGGTTGTTTTCGTAACAGACATTTAGTCTTGTCAGGAAAAGTCCAGGTGTTTCTAATAACTTTTAAGTGTACAAAGCCTCATTAATTTTATTATTAACACCTGTGCTTAACAAACCTAAACACCGTAGTGTCCTGCCATTGCTTCATTCTTGCAGTTTGTTATTTTTTTTGTGTAAATTCTCCTGTACAGTTCTATTAATTTACTGACTTTTCTGTCACTATGTGCTGCACAGCGGATACGCCCATTGAGGAGTTTACTCCCACACCTGCCTTCCCCGCCCTGCAGTACCTGGAGTCGGTGGACGAGGGAGGAGTGGCATGGCAGGCGGGGCTCAGGACGGGGGATTTCCTCATCGAGGTAAGAGCTGCTCAGTTTCAAAAACCTTTTCCCTGCATATGCAAAAAGGTCAGGCAGACTGGCTTTTTACTGCTAACGCTAGTAGAAATGTGGGCTTCAATGTCTGGCTGTTGGATTTTGCTCTCCTGGTTGCTTGCAGTGTTGGAAATGTGGGATGAAATGTTTGCACACACTTAGAGCTGTGTTTGAAAATGTCAAGGGATTTTGTGCTTACTTTTATGTGCTTTCATTATTTTGGTGGAATAATTTGATCCTGAGGACCTGTCTTTAGGTGAAACTTGAGCAGCCGCTTTGCTGCGAAATCATCAGTTTGCATGCAATTAGAGCAACAGCTGACTGCTGCCACTTTTGATTGGGATGGTGACTCGTGGATGGAGGAAAACATTTTGAAGCAAAGTCTGCAGAGTGTGGACAAGGTCAATGGATTAACTGAGCGCAGAGGGAGTCTTAAGGCCTGTTGTGTCTGTTTATTAGTGCTGTCGAGGCTGGTCTGGTTGACTTCATAAATCATGTTCATCCATAACGTGTTAGGTTACAGCAAGGTTGTCCTGAGCTTCATTGATTAAGCTGTATGGTATGTTTTAGATTTCGTTAGACTGTAATGTAAAGCGAGCATTAACTGTGTAGAGCTAAAGCAAGGTTTGCGAAAGCAGCAGTTCTTTGAGGCACACGAGGAAACAGACTTTCTTGCATCTTGAGATTTGTTTACAAGTGCATCTAGATTTGTCAGTCAGTTGCACTGACATTTCAAGACCAGTTTTTCTCCTTGTTAGCATGTCATTATGATGTTTTTTATATGCGGTAAGACACAGCATAGCTAAATAAGTTGAAAAAGTCATCTCTGTGGTTGAGCTTTTCCACTTTTAAAACTTGCTAAAAGTCTCAAAAACATGAATTAATATGTAACAAACCTAAAGAACAAATCCTGCCATCTGGTTTGGGCATGTATGACTGAATTACAACTTGCACTTGTGTAGCTTAGAGTAGTTTTACAGTGTTTGAGCAGAGTTCTGGGTGAGCTGGTGTGCTTGATCAGCAGTCGGTTTGAAAGGTTGAGTGGAAAGAGAAGCAGGAATTAATAGATCTGCACATTTTAGATGAAGCACTGGCGTTACATCTTAGACATTTTACAGCAGGGAGGGATTATTTTCATGGATGTCACCTCTAAATGTGTAACTGTGACACACTTAAATCCATATTTAGGCCTTAAATTTTCCCCTTGTCTTGTGCACAAGCTTGAACGTGCTTCAAGACATACAGTGACTTTGTCTGCTATTTACAGAGCCAGGATTTGTACCAACACATTTTGTATTACAGTGCATACAAAACAGACAGCTGGCTAGATATTTACTGACTATGACAAACAGAGTATGGAATTGTTAGATTTCAATCAAAACTGCAGTTTGAAATCATGCAATAAGCAAATTACAAATGCTGCAAATTAGAATACATGCACATGAGACCCACAGTTTAAACTGTTTTATCAGTGGTTTTGCAAATTCATGGTTTCTCTGTGGCCACACTTTTGAAGATGTCTTACATGTTATTGCTCCATTACCTGTTTTAAATCTATTACACAGTAAATATTGAACTGAACCAAATAGCAGTTGCCACAGCTGCCAGACAAACTGCAATTCGATATCTGCTATAAATCAATCAGCTCGAGTCCGAATCAAACACTTGATCTTTAAATTCGTCTTCCTGCATCTCCAGGGCGAGTCAGTGATGATTCAGTGCAATGTAATATTATATACCTACACTTGGTTGAGGTTATGACAGATGTGAAGCCAGCGATTCTAATCCAATATACTGGCTTTGTAGATGGGAGACAAAGTGGCTTGGATCGATCCGAACAACACTTTCCCAGTGCACGCTCCTGTACGTTTGTACACGTGCACAGGACAAAGGAGGAAAACGGGAAGAGGAGGGAAGATGTTGAAATGCTAACAAGCTAAATATCAGCAATCTTGCTCCAGAATCACTGACTTTGTGCTAAATTACAGCCAAATCCATCACGTTTGCTCCTAAAAAGACATGTCTGTAGTGATAACAGGAAACGAAAATTCTGTTTAGCTCATCAGTTTTTGCAAAAACCAGAACACCGTCGTTTTCTGCAACAAAACTAGCGCTGATGCTGATGTAATCTTGTCCTCATTTGTCTGTGAGACACAGATCTGTTTGGTTTAATACCACTGATAAATGTGAAATAAATAGGCACAGTATTGTTTGATTAAAAGAAAGTGCATTTAGTGTGTTAGTTCACTTGAGAAGTTTATCAGGCTTCATTTCAGCACCAGGAGCTGTCCACAGTGTGACCTAATAAACAGCCTGCTACATGATGCAGAAACACTATCAGTCTGCTCTCCTCATGAGGGCATGATTGTTACTCTGGGCTGTAGCTTAATGCCATTTCCACTTGCCTTTTAAAACAACATGTTAGTTTGGATTCCGACTGAGGGTCATTTGGGGACACTAAATTTTGGTTGGAAGCCATGTTTTGTTTGTCGGCTTCTATTTACCGAACTGATCCAATGTTGTAGTCACTGTACTGCAAGGCTTTTGATTCAGAACAGAACGTGGCACAGAAAATGTTCAACCCCATTATGTTTGGTTACACGTAATTGTTGTTAAGTCAGGAAAAGGGCTGCTGTTGTGGCCTCACGTCTATTATTGTTTGTGCTCCGTTATACACAGAGAGAGGAAAATAAAGTTGCAACACTCTTTGATTTCCGTGCCATTAACAAACTCTAACATGAGAATCAAAACTAGAACTGATAACTAGAGCAGTGCAAGTAAAAAAAGGGGGCAGTTTTACTCAGTACAGATGCAACTACTTTGACATGACTAAGTAATCAGTCAATGAAACGAATATTTGACCATCCTGTTTATGAATTGCACAGTTACTCAATAGTTCCTTTTCTGCTGTAAAAGTAGTTTCAGGTTCATCTTAACTAGTGACAGTTAAGATGCTCCTTGTGTTTTGTTTTGTTTTTTGTGATATATGTAAATTGCTGCGACAACACTACAATTTCTGACACCCAGCTTTATTATATTATGTTTAAAAGTTGTTAAATCCAGCTGCTGGGATAGCTTGAATCACAACCTCATGCAGACCCCAGATGACAAGCAGACACAAAAGGCCACTCAAAACTTCATGGATGTGTTGATGGTCTGATATCTTGTACACCACTGTGTCCACGCGTCTTTTTGTGGACAGTTAGTGACAGACTGCAGCATTCTGTAGTTTCTGTGATAACGTATCGAGGATGATGCGCTCCATCAACCCGTTGTTGCCTCAGTAGATCTTGAGCGAATGTTGGATGCTGCTGGTAAACTTTCCAATCATTCTATTTGTTCTTGCATCCATACTGCCCCAGTGTAACTGTAAGCCTCCCGTGCTCCGATTAACAGTGAACTTGGGCTGTACATCCTCAGACTGCGAGAAAGTGGTCCGTGCTTTTATATAATCACATCTGGCAGCGACTCGCTTCACTCCAGTGAGCAGTAATGCCTTCATGTCAGAGTATTTAGAGTCAGCGCAAAAAATACGCTCATTAATTTCAGTCGATTATTTGCTGCGCTCCTATTGCCCAATAGTTAACCCTCTGAACCCAAAACCCACCAGTGGTTGTGAGAAGCACGGTATGTTTGGAAAACTGCCAAAATGACACTATTTATCAGAGCCAGAAACTGTAATAACAGAAAGAATGATAAGATTTTCAACTTTCTCATGTTCACAGATCATGTGTGACACACAGTCCTGTCATAAAAATGAAGTAAATATGGTACAAAATCGGGCTGTTTCAATCAAATCACTTAATTCTTCATGTTTTCTTTAAAAAAAAAATGCCAAAAATAAACCACCAGGTTCTGTAAAGACTCAATATTCTGAGCCCCAGATCAATAACATAAAAACAGCATGGTTCAAAAATGGGCTGCAAGGTGGCTCGGTGGTTAGCACTGTTACCTCTCAGCAAGAAGGTCGCCAGTTTGCGTCCCGTTGAGAGTGGGTGACAGCTGGGATCTTTCTGCGTGGAGTTTGCATGTTCTCCCTGTGCAGCGTGGGTTCTCTCCGTGTTGTCCGACTTCCTCCCACAAGTCCGAAAGCATGTTGAGGTTAATTGGTGATTCTAAATTGTCCGTAGGTGTGAATGTGAGTGTGCTTGGTTGTCTGTCTATAAGTGTAGCCCTGTGATAGACTGGTGACCTGTCCAGGGTGTCCCCTGCCTTCACCCTGAGTCAGCTGGGATAGACTCCAGCCCCCCATGACCCTAGTGAGGATTAAGCGGTGTATAGATGATGGATGGATGGATGGTTCAAAAATAATACAAGTTGTCAGAGGATACATTCAGCATGAAGACATAACTGTCTAGAGCTGATGTGCGGAGCAGTGTGACAGTCACTATGTCTATATTGTGAGGAGCCACCATGTTTTTTCCATTATTATTATCAACAACTGTGTGGGTTTGGAAAGATGTTGGACATGATGATTCCAGAATATATATTTTTAAAGTAGCAATAATTCAAATTATTTAATTTAGTTCAATTTAATTCAGCATTGTTTCCTTTTTTATGATTTACGACATAACTGTGTCAAACTGCACAGAAAGCATTTCTCTACTTGTAGCTGTGGTGTTACTGTGTCCATACAGGTGCAGGACTTTATGTTGCTGTATGTAAAAATGTGACAGGAGCAACAAAACACCCAGAAACTGCTTAAGGTTCAGTCTTGTGTAGGGTTTTTATAAAGTTATGTTTTGGTTTTGGACTACTTTCGTCTTCCCTCCATTTGATTTTCATGCTTGGCACATCTAGTAATATTCAAATCAGTCTGATTTCATACACTTAAAAATGTGTTTTTTTCAAACTGTAGTTATCATGACTAATGTGTCGCGTGCACAAATTACTAAACAATTTCCTCCACGTGGATTAATAAAGTTTCTCTGACTCTGATTGCACCGAGTTGTGTAAGCAGTTGCAATATTTGATCTCTTGGCATT